ATAAATAAATAAATAAAAGATTCACTGAGGCCAGGCATGTTGGCTCACACCTGTAATCCCAGCACTTTGGGAGGCTGAGGCAGAAGAATCGCTTGAACCTGAGAGTTGGAGGTTGCAATGAGCCTAGACCAAGCCACTGCACTCCAGCCTGGGCGACAGAGGGAGACTCCGTCTCAATTAAGAAAAAAAAAAAAGAAAAGAAAAACATATATCTGATGATAAATATGTCCACAATTTAGACCGGGCTTAGACACTGAAGTTATCACCAGCTTCTTCACACCCACACGCCTTAATTCTCTCTTGTCTTCATGCATGCATTCACTTCATTCATTCGATTAGCTTGCATCCAGCAAATATCTGCTAAGCACCAGCTCTGTGCCAGACCCTGAGGCTGGGAGTGCCAGGGAGTCCTTTACCAGCCAGAGAGACACTGCCGTGCACTCCTGGCTCTGTGGCTCTCCGACAGTCTATGCCCTCACATATTCATTCATTCATAAAGTGTCCATTGATTGACTGAGTGTTCATTCCTTCTTTCTCTTAATGCCCTTATTCATTCATTCACCCATCACTTGCTTACTCACTCATCCCCTCAGGCTTCACGTATGTTGTCATTCCTTTATTCTCCAAGCATTCTGGAAGTACCCACTGTACACCAGGCCAGGGTTAGACGCTGGGATGCTGGCCCAGCCCACCCCGCCAAGCCTGTGGGGAAGCAGATGGTAAGGACATAGTGGTAACTACTTTGTCAGTTATTGGGATTCAGAGCTGGGGGGGGGGGGCGGGCACCAAGAAGGGAGAAATTTACTTCCTGGAGATGGTGGGGTGGGGAGGGGCAATCTGAGAAGGCTTCCTGGAGCGGGTAGCATTTTGGCCAAGTTGAGAAGCCTGTGTGGCAGTTCCCCAAGGAGGAAAAGATGCTTTGTTTTGTAGATGAAAATTTTTGTTCTGTGGAGTGTTTGGGGAAAAGTGAGGTAAGGGTTCCTAGGGTGTGTGATGCTGGGTGACTTCCCGTGCATGGCCCCACCCAGGCCAAGCCCTCCCCAGGTTCCAGTGACAGACCTGGGCCACTAAGGACCTCCCACCCTGGGCTGCTAGAAAACCACCCACTATCAGGTAGCCAGGAACGACCTTTGGAGAACGCACACAGCACCCTCCAAGTACCATCCACTTGTTTACCTGTGCTTCTGCCTGGGGACTCAGTAGGAAGGTGGTCCTGTCCCCAGGAGCCCACATCCCTCCAGCAAGTGTTTATTTTATTTTTATTTATGTATTTATTTTGAGACAGAGTCTTGCTCTGTTGCCCGGCGGGGGGGGGGGGGGACTGCAGTAGGGTGATCTCAGCTCACTGCAACCTCCGCCTCCTGGGTTCAAGCGATTCTCCAGCCTCAGCCTCCTGAATAGTTGGGATTACAGGTGTGCACCACCATGACCGGCTAATTTTTGTGTTTTTAGTAGACATGGGTTTCACAATGTTGGCCAGGCTGGTCTCGAACTCCTGACCTCACATGATCTGCCCGCCTTGGCTTCCCAAAGTGCTGTGATTACAGGCGTGAGCCACTGCACTGGGCTTTCGTGGTCACAGATGGTTTTGTGTAATGTTGGTGTCCTGGAAATTACTTACGTTTGACAAGAGAACACCAAGACCCAGCTGTGAATGTCTGGCCAGCTCTCAGTGAAACAGAACAGGAATGGGACAGAGCCTCTCCTTTATGCACTTTCTCTTTTTCCTTCTCTCGTCCCACCGATCACAAAACCCACAGCATTACCTCGCTGATGACATACCTGCTAACCCCAAGGCTTCAGTCATATAAATAGCCATTCTTCTCTGCTCTCACATTTAACCAGGCCTCTTATTTGAAGAATTCCAGAGAGGCCTTAGGAGAGATCCAAACATCGAATGAAGCTTGCACAGTGTCCCACCTAGGGAAGGAATGCGGAACAACTGATTGATAGCCTTGTTGCCGCCGGCCAGACCACCAGGTGACTCAAAATAACCATCGCAACCAGATATGGGAACTGCAAACCCTCACCTGCTTTGCCCAGCCCAGCCTGCATACCCTATACCTGATGTCAATTCCCATGCTTTGCCTCATAAAAAAAATTCCCACTGGGGCCGGGCGTGGCGACTCAAGCCTGTAATCCCAGCACTTTGGGAGGCAGAGGCAGGAGGATCACGAGGTCAAGAGATCCAGACCATCTGGCCAACATGGTAAAACCCCGTCTCTACTAAAAATACAAAAATTAGCTGGGCGTGGTGGCATATGCCTGTAGTCCCAGCTACTCGGGAGGCCGAGGCAGGAGAATTGCTTGAACCTGGGAGGTGGAGGTTGCAGTGAGCCGAGATTGTGCCACTGCACTCCAGCCTGGCGCCTGGTGAGGCTCTGTCTCAAAAAAAAAAAATTCCCACTGGTTTTTCTACAAGTCAGCTGGAGGATGCCTTCGCTTCTGCTTCCATGGTCTCCCCTGCACTCAAGCACAAGCTCTGAAATCAACACCTTGTCTGGGAAATCTGCTTGGATCTCTGTTAAGCTTCATTACAAGGGGAGCCGAGCAGCCTGTAGTCTGTAACATCAGATGTGAGCAACAGCTTTTCCTTCTCTCTCTCTCTCTGTCTCTTTTTCTTTTTGAGATGGAGTCTTGCTCTGTTGCCCAGGCTGGAGTGCAGTGGCACGATCTCAGCTCACTGCAACCTCCATCTCCTAGTTTCAAGCGATTTGCCTGCCTCAGCCTCCCAAGTAGCTGGGATTACAGGTGAGCACCACTACTCCCAGATAATTTTTGTATTTTTAGTACAGACAGTGTTTCACCATGTTGGCCAGACTGGTCTCGAACTCCTGACCTCGAGTGATCCACCCGTCTTGGCCTCCCCAGGCATAAGCCACCATGCCAGCGCTTTCTCTTTCTTAGTCAACTAAACAAAAAATCAGGCTTTTAAAAAATTAAAGTTAGTTTTTTAAAATCTTACTGAGGACTGTAACCAGGGAAAGTCTTTCACAGTTTGTTAAACTGCTTCAAAACAGAGTTTCAGCACACATTTATATTTATATACAGTTTATATAAAAACATTTATATACAGTTGGTGGGCCCCTGCATGTGCTCAGAAGTTATATCAGACCAGGCATGGTGGTTCATGCCTATAATTCCAGCACTTTGGGAGGCCAAGTGGGAGGGGGGCAGATCACATAAGGTCGGGAGTTTGAGACCAGCCTGGTCAACATGGTGAAATCTCGTCTGTACTAAAAATACAAAAATTAGCTGGGCATGGGGGGCTGCCTGTAATCCCAGCTACTCGAAGGCTGAAGCAGGAGGATTGCTTGAACCCAGGAGGTAGAGGCTAAGTGAACCGAGATTGCACCACTGCACTCTATCCTAGGGGCAGAGTGAGACTCTGTCTCAAAAAAAAAGTTATTCTCAAATGTGCTCACAAGTTACAATAGAGCAAAATTTCATCCAGGCTTGGGTGTGAGGGTACATCTAGTTATAGAGTATAGAGGACTTGACTGGGTATGGTGACTCACACCTATAATCTCCGTCAGCACTTTGGGAGGCCCAGGCAGGAGGATCGCTTGAGCCCAGCAGTTCAAGACCAGCCTGGGCACCACCACAACACCTTGTCTCTACAAAAACTAAAAATAAAAAAATTAACTGGGTGTGGTGACATGCACCTGTAGTCTCAGCTACTCAGGAGGCTGAGGTGGGAGGATTGCCTGAATCTGGAGTTCAGTACTGCCGTGAGCTATGATCCTGTCCCTACACTCCAGCCTGGGCAACCAAGTGAGACCCTGTCTCTTAAAAAAAAAAAAATTATAGAGGCATAATCATTAATCCTGTCAGAGATTATGTACAGGAAGAGGCAAGGTCATTATTAAGCTCGTCTTTTCTTTTTATTTGATTTTTTTGAGACAGTCTCGTTCTGTCACCCAGGCTGGAGTGCAGTGCCGCAATCTGGTCTCACTGTAGCCTCCACCTCTCAGGTTCAAGGGATTCTCCTGCCTCAGGTCCCCCAGTATCTGGGATTACAGGCACACACCACCACCACCGGCTAATTTTTGTATTTGTATTTATTTATTTAGAGATGAGGTTTCACCATGTTAGCCAGGCTGGTCTCAAACTCCTGACCTCAGGTGATCCACCCACTTCAGCCTCCCAAAGTGCTGGGATTACAAGCGTGAGCCACCACCCCCGGCTAAATTTTGTATTTTTAATGGAGATGAGGTTTCACCGTGTTGGTCAGGCTGGTCTCAAACTCCTGACACCTCGTGATCCGCCCGCCTCGGCCTCCCAAAGTGCTGGGATTACAGGGATGAACCACTACACCCGGCCTGAGCTTGTGTTTTCTAAAAATGCAGTGATTTTTAGAGGTAGGAACCTGCGTTCTCTCTCTCCTGCTTATTGTTCAGGGCGTTATCGGAGGGGGCTGTGCTCGGTCACTTAGTCAGGGCCTTTGTGAAATCCTGCTTGCAAGCAGAGTGAGCATAGTTCCTTAAGTTTGCTCCTTTGTCTTACTACGAAGGCTCATTCATTGGCAGAGGTGTATTTGCAGGGGGCCAGGTATAGAGTAATTGGAGACAAAGGAGGCAGGCTCGGTCTTCAGGGAGCTCAGGGACATGTTTGCGCTGTCTTATGTAAACAGGAGATCGTCAGAAATGGAGGAGGGGTGACCAGATCCAAGCAAGGCCCAGGACAAAGCCTGGAGGCAAGGAGAGCCAAGGGGGAGGAAGTGCCGAGAGCATCAGCAGGACTGCGCGGTAGCACGAAGACGCCCGTGGGGACTGGAGAGGCCGGCTGAGGCCAGGCTACTCAGGCACGGAGGGCCACCTCCCCTCCAGGGACGTGAGCGTCTAGCTGCACTCAATTGTTGTTCAGGAACAGGAAATGAAAACCCACAGCTTTGATCGCAATAACCCACGCCGGCCTCGGGCTCATGAATATTCAGCAGGCTGCTTCCGGCTTGCAACCCCGCCTCCGTCCCCTCTCTGTGGAGACTGCGCATGCGTCTCCGGCGCGCGGCTCTGTCGTCATACTTCCGCGGCGCCGCCGCCGCAGCTCTCTGTGAAAACAGGACCGGTGTCATGGCGAGCTCAGCTGCCTCCTCGGTGCGACCGCCGAGGCCCAAGAAAGAACCGCAGACGCTCGTCATCCCCAAGAATGCGGCGGAAGAGCAGAAGCTCAAGCTGGAGCGGCTCATGAAGAACCCGGTGAGACGAGGCCCGGGCTCTGCGGCCCGTCCAAGGCCCACCCCCTTCCTCTGTGGCGCCTCTAGTTTCCCCCCGGGTCCATCTTCCCCGCCTCCAAATTCAGAAAGTCAGTATCTGACCCTCCCAGAGCAGTTCTTTGGGGGGAGGAGGCTGTCCTAGAGATAGTGAACTTCCCGTCTGTCCTTGTGTGAGAGCCCAGCCTGAATGAAGGCACGGTGGAGCGGCTTCCCGTGCTCTAAGACCCCTTCTAGTTTAACTTTCTGTGAACAAGAAGCGTTAGACTGAAAACGTAGAATTTGTGCGTTAGCAAAGGGTATATCCTAAACAACACTGATCGTTAGAGAGACAGTGGCTGAGACGTTTGGAGCGAGTCACTCCTCTCCCGCCCACACCCCCTCCGGGTCTCGGTCTCACGGATCATAAAAACAATTGAACAAGAACGTCCTTTATATCTTTTTTTTTTTTTTTTTTTTTTTTTTTTTTTTTAGTAGAGACAGGGTTTCACCATGTTGGTCAGGCTGGTATTGAACTCCTGACTTCAGGTGATCTGCCCGCCTCGGCCTCCCAAAGTGCTGGGATTACAGGCGTGAGCCACCGTGTCCGGCCGTCCTTTGTATCTTTAACTAGAAAGGCTCGACTCTTCTCCCCTAGTAGTGTTAAAGTTGGCGGTTTCTAGCTGGAAACTATAGCTTAGGTTTCTCAGTTCTGCTCCAGTAAGTGCAGCCCTGGGAAGGTGTGGACTGTGTTATGCCCAAGAGTACATAGAATGAAAAAAGCCACGGCAGACAGAAGAACACAAAATCAGCTCTGAGCCCAAGTAGCGAAGTGATCCTGCTTCATTAGTCCAATTAAAAAATTCTTTGGTCATAGAGATGAAATTTGGGCTGGGTGCTGTGGCTCCTGCCTGTAATCTCCGTGCTTTGGGAGGCCAGGTGGGAGGATGGCCCGAGGCCAGGAAGGAGTTCAAGACCAGCCTGGACAACATAGTGGGTTCCTGTCTGTACTAAAAAATTGCCTGGTGTGGTGGCATTCACCTGTAGTCCTAGCTACCCTGGAGACTGAAGCAGGAGGATCACTTGAGTCCCGGAGTTCAAGGCTGCAGTGAGCTATGATTGCATCACTGCGCTCCAGCCTGAGGGACAGACCAAGAGCCCATCTCTAAAAAAAGAGAGAGAGAGAGAGACGTAATTTTGTCAGCAGGTTTATATTTAGAAATGCTTTCATGTTTAAATGTTGCAGGACAAAGCAGTTCCAATTCCAGAGAAAATGAGTGAATGGGCACCTCGACCTCCACCAGAATTTGTCCGAGATGTAATGGGTAATGTCTTTGTGTGTGTATGTGTGTGTAAATATAATTTAAAAAAAAAATTTTTTTTAATAGAGATGGGGTGTCACCATGTTGTCCAGGCTGGTCTCGAACTCCTGACCTCAGGTGATCCACCCATTTCGGCCTCTCAAAGTTCTGGGATTATAGGTGTGAGCCATCGCGCCCGACCATAATTTTTTAAGATAGATATAAAAACCCTATAGTTAGTATTTGTTAAATCTCTGAGGAGGGGAAATGTTCACTAGTTCAATGTTTTAATTTTACAATGATGAGGATATAGCTGCTTTTATTTATTTGTTCATTTGACATCAGTAAATTTAGCTTAAGGGTTATAGTTGCTTATGGTTTGACACTGGAGAATTTTCTCCTGCATTATTGCATTTTTTTTTTAAAGACGAGGTTTCAACATGTTGGTCAGGCTGGTCTCGAACTCCCAATCTCAGGTGATCCGCCCGCCTTGGCCTCCTAGAGTGCTGGGATTATAGGCATGAGCCACGGCACCTGGCCTTTTTTAAAATTTTTATTTTAGAGACAGAGTCTCACACTGTCACCCAGGCTGGAGTGCAATGACACTATCTCTGCTCACTGCAACCTCCGCCTCCCAGGTTCAAACTATTCTGCTGCCCCAGCCTCCTGAGTAGCTGGGACTATAAGCTCGTGCCACCATGCCTGGCTTATTTATTTATTTATTTATTTATTTTTGAGATGGAGTTTCGCTGTTGTTACCCAGACTGGAGTGCAATGGCAGGATCTTGGCTCACCGCAACCTCTGCCTTCTGGGTTCAAGCAATTCTCCTGCCTCAGCCTCCCGAGTAGCTGGGACTACAGCTGCGCACCACCATGCAGAGCTAATTTTTGTATTTTAGTAGAGACGGGGTTTCACCTTGTTGACCAGGATGGTCTCGATCTCTTGACCTCATGATCCACCCGCCTCGGCCTCCCAAAGTGCTGGGATTATAGGCGTGAGCCACCGCACCCGGCCACCTGGTTAATTTTTTTATTTCTAGTAGAGACTGGGTTTCACTGTTTTGACCAGACTGGTCTTGAACTCTTGACCTCAGGTGATCCACCTGCCGCGGACTCCCAAAGTGCTAGGATTACAGCTGTGAGCCACCGTGCTCGGCCATCTTCTGCGCTATTCTTAATAATGCATTGTGGTTTTTTTGTACATAGAAATCGTTTTATTATTTTGTTGGATCCTAAATTAACATATCTGTAGTTATACCATGGAGATAGTGCACGTTTAGTTCCAGGCCACCTAGTTAAAGTGAGTGTCGCAGTAAAGGGAATCTGTATACAAATTCTTTGGTTTCCCAGGGCGTATACAAGTTTTTTTTATATTCTACTATAGTTTGTTTAATGTTCAGTAGCATTATGTCTTTAAAAAGCAATGTAGGTTGGGCGCGGTGGCTCATGCCTGTAATCCTTTAGGAGACCAAGGCAGGAGAACCGCTTGAGTTCAAGACCAGCCTGGGCAACATAGCAAGACCTTATCTCTACTAAAGATTTAAAGATTAGCCAGGCATAGTGGTGCATGCTGTGGTCCCAACTACTTGGGAGACTGAGTAGGAGGATTGCTGGAGCCCAGGAGGCCAGGGCTGCAATGAGCTGTAATCGTGCCACTGCACTCCAGCTTGGGTGACAGAGCAAGACCCTGTCTCAAAAAAAAAAAAAAAAAGCTTAAGAAAAAACACTTAGAAAATATGGTTGTTCTAAATACATTATTTTGTAAACCCCTTTTTTTCATTTAATGTATTGTGGACATCTTTTCAGCTCACTAGAAATCTGGCATGTCAAATGTGAAATCGTGGAGGAGATGCGAAAGTCACTTAACCACAGTCTGCTCCTCCTGATACTGTATTTGCGTGGGATTTTTATTGACTTCACATTCAACATTCATGTAACAAATAATGACATCCATAATAAGCTAGGTGCTGGGCCAGTTCTGGATGCAGTGGGAAGAAAGGAGGGCATGGTCCCTTCCACAACTTCCACTTTTTGTTTCTTTAGTCCCCTTTGATTAAGGGTGGCCGGTATTGGTATTTAATCTGGATCTTCGGACTGTTCTGGCTACAGGTTCAAGTGCTGGGGCTGGCAGTGGAGAGTTCCACGTGTACAGACATCTGCGCCGGAGAGAATACCAGCGACAGGACTACATGGATGCCATGGCTGAGAAGGTCAGTGAGCCAAGAGGCTGGCTGAGCTGCCATGTTTGGGCAGTGTGCATGTACAGCCTCTAGAAAAAAGCATTTGGGGAAGCCGGGCTCAGGGCTCATGCCTGTAATCACAGCACTTTGGGAGGCCAAGGTGGGCAGATCACTTGAGGTCAGGAGTTCGAGACAATCCTGACCAACATGAAGAAAACCCACCTGTACTAAAAATGCAAAATTATCAGGGCATGGTGGTGTGCACCTGTAATTCCAGCTACTTGGGAGGCTGAGGCAGGAGAATAGCTTGAATCTGGGAAGTGGAGGTTGCAGTGAACCAAGATCACACCATTGCACTCCAGCCTGGGCAACAAGAGGGAAACTTCATCTTGAAAAAAAAAAAGGAAAGAAAGAAAAGAAAAAAGCATTTTAGGAAGAATAGATACAGTTGATTATAGCTAGTGTGAGGTGTGAAGCACGGAACGCAGAGTCCAGGTAAGCCCTCAGTCAGAATCAGAACAGCAAGATGCCCACACTAGGAGAGGGATGGGGAGCAAGAGTCTTCCTTGTGTATGGAAGGGCACAACTGAGGCCTCTCTTCCCTCTAGGCCATTTGCCATGTGATAGAATAGCAAGTGGTATCCCCACACCATTTAAGTTGTTACTTCTCTGTCATTCTCCCTCTGTTTAGCTGGATGTCTAGATGCAGTTAGCTGCGCACTTGGTGTGAACGGCAGGCGCTTTCTCTACTGCGAAAGTGCATATAGGATCTGCCTCTTGGAGCGTTTGATTTTCCTGACTGGAGCTGGCATTTCTTTGTGACAGGTGTCAAATAATAGACTGTTATAAGATTATTAATCTGCAATAATTATGAATTAGTTGAGAATTGTTTAAGAAACCATATTTTGGGAGAGGTACTGTTTCTTCAGACAGGGTCTGGCTCTGTCACCCAGGCTGGAGTGCGGTGGCACAACTTGGTTTACTGCAACCTCCCCCTCCCAGGCTCAAGCAATTCTCATGCCTTGGCCTCCCAAGGAGCTGGGATTACAGGTGTGCATCACCACGCACAGCAAATTTTTGTATTTTTAGTAGATACAGGGTTTTGCTATGTTGGCCAGGCTGGTCTCAAACTCCTGACCTCAAGTGATTCGCCTGCCTCAGCCTCTCAAAGTACTGGGATTAGAGGTGTGAGCCACTGCACCTGTCCTGCCTGTCTTTCTATTAATAGAAATCAAAGCTGGGTGTAATGGTGTACCAGGTGCCACCTGGGTGGTACTTGTCTCTTCTTTTTTTACTTTTTCTTTTGAGACAGAGTTTTGTTCTTGATGCCCAGGCTGAAATGCAGTGGCACAATCTCGACTTGCCACAACCTCTGCCTCGCTGGTTCAACTGATTCTCCTGCCTCAGCCTCCCAAGAGCTGGGCTTATAGACATTCGCCCGACTAATTTTGTGTTTTTAGTAGAGATGGGGTTTCTACATGTTGGTCAGGCTAGTCTTGAACTCACGACCTCAGCTGATCCGCCTGCGTCAGCCTCCCAGAGTGCTGGGATTACAGGCGTGAGCCACCATGCCTTACTGGTCTGTGCTTTTTTTTTTTTAAGACGGGGTTTCACCATTTTGGTTGGGCTGGTCTTGAACTCCCAACCTCAGGTGATCTCTCCGCCCTCCTTGACCTCCAAAGTGCTTGGATTATAGGCGTGAGCCACCACTCCTAGCCTGGTCTGTCCTTTTTAAATTGGAGAACAAAAGTGCCTCCAGAAATGCCCAGAAGACAAGTGCCTCTCATCCCTGCTACAGAGGAGGCTGAGGTGGGAGGGTCACTTGGCCCCAAGATTTCAAGTCCAACCTGGGCAACAGAGTAAGACATCAAATGTTATTTGGCTGGTTCCTTTTGATTTTCCAAATGTACACCTGACTTTTCCTAATGAGGGTAAGGGATTGTTCCCTCTTACTAATCTTATAACATGCACCCCAAAAAAAGTTCCATTCCTTAGTATGGCCAGGGTGCCTTTTTTATTTTTATTTTTTGAGACAGAGTCTTTTTCCATCTCCAGGCACCAGGCTGAAGTGCAGTGGTGCGATCTTGGCTCACTGCAACCTCTGCCTCCTGGGTTCAAGCAATTCTTCGGCCTCAGCCTCCGGAGTAGCTGGGACTACAGGCGTGCACCACCACGCCCAGCTAATTTTTGTGTTTTTGGTAGAGACAGGGCTTCACCATGTTGGCCAGGATGGTCTCTATCTCTTGACCTCATGATCCGGCCGCCTCGGCCTCCCAAAGTGCTAGGATTTCAGGCGTGAGCCACCATGCCCGGCCAGGGTGCCTTTTATTTCATAGAGTATGTTAATGCACCTTAGAGAGGTTCAGATGCTTTTTTTTTGAGATGGAGTTTCGCTCTTATTGTCCAGGCTGGAGTGCAATGGCGCGATCTCGGCTCACCGCAACGTCTGCCTCCTGGGTTCAGGCAATTCTCCTGCCTCAGCCTCCCGAGTAGCTGGGATTACAGGCACGCGCCACCATGTCCAGGAAATTTTTTGTATTTTTAGTAGAGATGGGGTTTCACCATGTTGACCAGGATGGTCTTGATCTCTTGACCTCGTGATCCACCCGCCTTGGCCTCCCAAAGTGCTGGGATTACAGGCGTGAGCCACCGCGCCCAGCTATTTTTTTGTGTTTTTAGTAGAGACAGGGTTTCAGTATGTTGGCCAGGCTGGTCTTGAACTCCTCCTCAAGTGATCCACCTGCCTCAGCCTCCCAGAGTGCCAGAATTACAGGTGTGAGCCACCATGCCTGACCAGATATTACTTTAAAAGGAAAGAGAAAAGCATGCACAAATATGAAACCCTGTTTAATGATATGCATGCTTAAATGCTCAAGAATGGAACGTCCTGATGGCTGTAGCTTACTTTGAAATGCACCAAAAAAAAAAAAAAAAGATGAATTGGTAGATGAATAGAGCTGTGGGAGGGAGGAATTATAATTTTCTCCATTTTATAGTTAAGGAAATTGAGGCTTGGAGACAGAGGACTGCTGGGAAGACATATACCAATAGAGGTATGGGTAGATGAATCGGTGTGTGATTAAGAAAATCTAGCAGAACAGGAATTGTTGAGTCAAGAGCAGTGGATATATGTGCTATATAATTCTTTTAACTTTTCCGTTTGAAATTTTCAAAATAAAACATTAGGGAAAATTTAAACCAAAGAGACAGTCAGGATACAGAATAAAATACGTAAGAATTTATTGGAATGGCCAAAATTGAGTTAGAAAAAATCTGCTTTTGGGGGCCAGGTGTGGCACATCACACCTGTAATCCCAGCACTTTGGGAGGCCAGGGCAGTGGATCACTTGAGAGCAGGAGTTCAAGACCAGTGTGGCCAACATGGTGAAACCCCCATCTCTACTAAAAATAGAAACATTAACTAGGCATGGCGCACACCTGTAATCCCACCTACTCGGGAGGCTGAGGCGGGAGAATTGCTTGAACTCAGGAGGTGGAGGTTGCAGTGAGCTGAGATAGTGCCACTGCACTCTAGCCTGGGCGACGGAGTGAGACGCCATCTCAAAAAGAAAAAGGAAAAATCCTGCTTTGGGCACAGGATGGTCATTGGTGTGCTGGCTGTCATCTGATACTTGCTTGTCCTGCAGTTTTTTTTGGCCCCTGGGTTTTGGTGTTTCTTCTTGTTCCTGCCTTCTGTTAACAATCTCAATCCTAGTGAGAAGTATTAGACAGTTTGTCACAAAACTATACCAGGTTACTGCAGTGGGTTTGCCTGTCAAGAATAATGCTCTTGTGTGGAAACCATCAAGCTGGGTGCGGTGGCTCATGCCTGTAATCCCAGCACTTTGGGAGGCCAAGGTGGAAGGATCACTTGAGCCCAGGAAACATGGCAAGACCCCATCTCTACAAAGAGTACAAAGATTAGCCAGGTGTGGTGGCACCTCCTGTAGTCTACTCGAGAGGCTGAGGCAGGAGGATTGCTTGAGCCTGGACGGTCAAGGCTGCAGTGAGCTGTGATCATGTCATTGGACTCTTGCCTGAGTGAACAAGACCCTGTCTCAACAAAAAAAAAGGAAACTGCTGTCAGAAACACTTTTATTTTTATAAACTGTTTTAGAGGGGAGGACATTAGACCAGGTTGCTGTCTCAGACACTGTAAGTTACTCTGAAGTTTTGCATATTGATTATAGATTCAGAGAAAATACAGAAAAATGTTTCAGAAACCTTGGCCTTCATGGAAATGCAAAGACCTTTATTTTGGATGGCAAAAGACAGTCTCAGATTTAAAAAAAAAAAAAAAAAGGAGGGAAGAGTCCTCATTTTTTAGTAACTGACAGATCACCTCCATCAGAGCCCGGTTCCACTCACCCCTGCTTGAGACATTGCCTCTGCCAGGTGCGGCAGTCAGCTGGGGCTGCATTTAGTCACTTGCTGGGAAATTCAGCTTCTTCAGCAGCACAGAGTAAGACTTTCACAACTCGGCTTCTTTTTTTTTTTTTTTGAGATGGGGTTTCGCTCTTATTACCCAGGCTGGAGTGCAATGGCACGATCTCGGTTTACCGCAACCACCACCTCCTGGGTTCAGGCAATTCTCCCGCCTCAGCCTCCTGAGTAGCTGGGATTACAGGAACGCGCTACCACGCCTAGCTAATTTTTTGATTTTTAGTAGAGACGGGGTTTCACCATGTTGACCAGGATGGTCTCGATCTCTTGACCTCGTGATCCACCCGCCTCGGCCTCCCAAAGTGCTGGGATTACAGGCATGAGCCACCGCGCCTGGCTCTTTTTTTTTTTTAATTCCAGCAGAGTCCCGCTCTGTCACCTCAGCTGGAGTTTGATCTTGGCTCACTGTAGCCTCTGCCTCCTGGGTTAAAGCGGTTCTTATGCCTCAGCCTCCCGAGCAGTTGGGACTACAGGCGCCTGCCATCACGCCTGGCCAATTTTTGTATTTTTAGTAGAGATGGGGTTTCATCATGTTGCCCAGGCTGATCTTGAACTCCGGACCTCAGGTGATCCACCTGCCTCAGCCTCCCAATGTGCTGGATTACAGGCGTAAGCGACGGCACCCAGCCTTCACCGCTTAGCGTCTAAGCAAATCAAGTTCTTTTAGATTTAAGTCATTTGCTTTCTGGTTGTTCAGAAGGTTGACTAATTAAAGTCGATTTCCTTCCTGAAGGAATATTTTCTGCCCTCAGAGAGGGGCTTGTTTTGTTTGGTTTCTGTGCTGCTCTAAGCAGATGCACACAGCTGGCAGTGCAGACCAGCAGAGGTGCTGAAGGTACCTCTTCCTCCTTTGCTGGCTCCTTTTTTGCTCCATTGAGCTTTACGCTGTGACCAGAAGAAATGAAAGATGAATCATTTGATGTCTTTATAGTTTACAGGTGCTTTTCTGTGGGTTGTCTTATTTCATTAATCCTGTTTTTTTCTTTTTTGAGACATGGTCTTTCTCGGTTGCCAGACTGGAGTGCATTGGCGCGATTTCCGCTCACTGCAACCTCTTCCTTCTGCGTTCAAGCGACTCTCCTCCCTCAGCCTCCCGAATATCAGCCTCCCAAAGTATCGGGAAACAAGCATGAGCCACCATGCCCAACCCGTATTTCATTATTCTTCCTAACAGCTCTGGGAGACGGGAATTATAATTTTCCCCATTTTATAGATGAAGAAACTGAGGCTTGGAAACAGAACTGCTGAGAAGAAGTAATGCAGTTGATAGGAATATACGTGTGGGTGTGGGTGTGTGTTTAGCAGCAGGCGATGGCAGCAGATGGCATGTGTCACACTGCTTTACAGTCTGTCATTTGGTGGCTGGGCACACTGGCCTGTAATATCAGCACTTTGGAGGCTAAGGTGGAAGGATCCTTTGAGGCCAGGAGTTTAAAACCAGCCTGGGCAACGTAGCCAGACCTGTAGTCTCTACAAAATAAACATAAAAATTTGCCAGATGTAATAGCATGCACCCATAGTCCCAAATACTCAGGAGACTGAGACAGGAGGATCTGTTGAGCCCAGGGGTTCAAGGTTGTAGTGAGCTATTATTGTGCCATTGCACTCCAGCCTAGGTGACAGAATGAGACCTTGTATCACCAAAAAAAAAAAAAAAACCTCAGCCATTTGGTAACTATGAGGTTAGAGCTTGAAAATTCCTAGTTCTGACCCTCTGGCCATTCCTTCTGATGAGCTCTGGGCCATGTCTGAGGCCCCAGCTAAGCAGATGGTGCTGCCCCTGCCCGTAAGGTGTCCTCTGCACTCCCTCCCATACTGTCTCCTAGATCTTGTGTGCATGAGGGGTATCTCAATCAACTGAAAGAGTTACTTCACCATCAGAGAGCTATGTATAGATTACCTGCCCTTTTAAAGTTAAAATGGACCTGGAGACCGGGGTAGTGCCTCTAGCACCCCCAGTGGCCTGACTGCTAGAACTCTCCTACTCAGCCTGAACAAAAACCTCCCAGTCTACCCAGACCTAGCGTGTCTAAATGATGTGGGTTTTGTTGCAGCAAAAATTGGATGCAGAGTTTCAGAAGAGACTGGAAAAGAATAAAATCGCTGCAGAGGAGCAGACTGCAAAGCGCCGGAAGAAGCGGTAAGAGGCATGGTCTAACTGTGGTGACACTCAAGGGCCGGGGGCAGGAACAGGGCTGGGTGAGCTGAGCCCTTGCAGTCAGTAGTAGTTCCCCGCATGACCGGTAGGGGTCATGAGTGTAGAGCAGTGCCTTCTACAACCTGAACAGAGAGCAAGTTCCTTGGGACCCTCTAGCTGGTTACAGGTTGTCCAGAGCTTGCAAGTCGGGACTTTAGTGATGGCATTGATTTCTGTGTCTCCTTCATGTCTGTTTTTTTTGAAACAAAGTCTCACTGTGTCCCCCAGGCTGCAGTGCAGTGCCATGATCTCAGCTCATTGCAACCTCCCCCTTCTGGGTTCAAGCGATTCTCCTGCCTCAGCCTCCCAAGTAGCTGGGATTACAGGTGCCTGCCACCATGCCCGGCTAATTTTTTTTGTTTTTGGTATAGACAGGATTTCACTATTATGTTTCCCAGGCTGGTCTCAAAACTCCCGACCTCAGGTGATCCACCTGCCTCGGCCTCCCAAAGTGCTGGGATTACAGGCATGAGCCACCACACCTGGCCTAAAAATGTATTTTTTTAAAAGCGTCCTCTTTATTTCTGAGGTTGCTTTGCCTCAGGGCTCCCTGGGATTTGCTCTTGAATCCTAATAGAAGCAGCTGAGAAGGATGGACTGGCAGAGTCATGCAAAAGTATTTGATTGGTGCAAAAGTAACTGCAGTTTCAGACCATGAATTTTAAATCATTATAACTAGGCTCAAACACATCTTTATTTATCAAAATAGGAACCATTACAATCAACATATTTTTGCCTGCAAGACATACGTTGATTTATTCCTATAATGTAAAAATCCATGCTTCAGGATTTGATGAACTCTCAGAAAGCGTTTTCTGAGTCCTTCTGGTTGTGGAAGTGCTTTCCCTGCAAAAAGTGGTCGAGGTACTTGAAGAAGTAGTAGTTGGTTGGCAGGAAGTCAGGTGAACGGCGGATCAGGCAAAACTCTTAGCCCAGTTTGTTCAACCTTTGAAGCCTGGGTTGTGCGCCGTGCAGTCGGGTGTTGGCATGGAGAAGAACTGGGCCCTTCTGTTGCTAGCTGTAGGCGTTGGACATGGAGAACTGGGCCCTTCTGTTGCTAGCTGCAGGCGTTGGACATGGAGAAGAACTGGGCCCTTGTGTTGCTAGCTGTAGGTGTTGGCATGGAGAAGAACTGGGCCCTTCTGTTGCTAGCTGCAGGCGTTGGGCATGGAGAAGAACTGGGCCCTTCCTTCTGTTGCTAGCTGCAGGCGTTGGGCATGGAGAAGAACTGGGCCCTTCCTTCTGTTGCTAGCTGCAGGCGTTGGGCATGGAGAACTGGGCGCTTGTGTTGCTAGCTGTAGGCGTTGGACATGGAGAAGAACTGGGCCCTTCCTTCTGTTGCTAGCTGCAGGCGTTGGACATGGAGAAGAACTGGGCCCTTCCTTCTGTTGCTAGCTGCAGGCGTTGGACATGGAGAAGAACTGGGCCCTTCCTTCTGTTGCTAGCTGCAGGCGTTGGACATGGAGAAGAACTGGGCCCTTCCTTCTGTTGCTAGCTGCAGGCGTTGGACATGGAGAAGAACTGGGCCCTTCCTTCTGTTGCTAGCTGCAGGCGTTGGGCATGGAGAAGAACTGGGCCCTTGTGTTGCTAGCTGCAGGCGTTGGGCATGGAGAACTGGGCCCTTGTGTTGCTAGCTGCAGGCGTTGGACATGGAGAAGAACTGGGCCCTTGTGTTGCTAGCTGCAGGCGTTGGACATGGAGAAGAACTGGGCCCTTGTGTTGCTAGCTGCAGGCGTTGGACATGGAGAAGAACTGGGCCCTTCTGTTGCTAGCTGCAGGCGTTGGAGCGTTTGGTGCAGCTCATCAATCTGCTGAGCAGGCTTCTCCAGTGTTCCCCTGGGATTCAGAAAGCTGTAGTGGATCAGGCCAGCAGCCGACCGAATAGTGACCATGACTTTCTTCTGGTGCAAGTTTGGCTTTGGGAAGTGCCTTGGAGCTGGTTGTCACCAGTTGTCACGTCAGATCCATTTTTCATCACACGTCACAATTGGATCGAGAAATGGTTCATTGTTGTTGCATAGAGTAAGAGAAGATGACACTTGAAAATGATGATATTTTTGATTTTCACTCAGCTCGTGAGGCACCCAGTTTCGAGCTTTTTCATCTTTTCAATTTCCTTCAAATGCTGAACAAACTTGGAATGGTCAACGTTGAGTTCTTTGGCTGTAAGAGGGTCAGCTTCGATGATTGCTCTGAATTGGTCCTTGTCAACTTGCAGTGGCCGGCCACTACGCTCCTCATCTTCAAGGCAAAACTTCCTGACCCACCACTGCACTGTACATTAGTTAGCAGTTCCTGGGCCAAATGCATTGTCAGTGTTGTGAGTTGTCGCCACGGCTTTACGGCCCATTTTGAATTTGAATAAGAAAATCACTTGAATTTGCTTTTTGTCTAACATCATTTCCATAGTCTAAAGTAATCATAAAATAGCCAGCAAGTAATAAGGAATTAGCAAAAAAAAAAAAAAAAAAAAACAACGTAAAGCCAGAAGTGCCCATTAAAATGACGTGTAATATAACCACATTTATTTAATAATGTATTCCAATTAAAACAGCAAATTCCAACAATGCAAAAACTGCAGTTACCTTTGCACTCACCTGATGTTTCTCTTATTTTGTCATTGTAATGTTTGTGCTACTCCACAGGTTTTAAAGATACCATAAGGAGGTGTTTATTTTCTTTTTTTTCCCTCTTTTTTTTTTTTTAAAGACGGGTTTTGCCATGTTGACCAGGCTGGTCTTGAACTGCTGACCTCAGGTGATCCACCCGCCATGGCCTCCCAAAGTGTTGAGATTATAGGCATGAGCCAACGCCCCCAGCCGGAAGTGTTTATTTTCTAAGAAATAGCATAAGGTAGTGAAGGCTCAATGTGTATGGTTTTATATTTTTAGCCAGAAGTTAAAAGAGAAGAAATTACTGGCAAAGAAGATGAAACTTGAACAGAAGAAACAAAAAGAAGGTGAGTGGTGCCCACTTTTCCTGGCCATAGCTTCTTTCTTGGTGTCAGTCACAGTGGCTGAACTGTCAGGAAACACCAGGATGGAGGGTTTGGGCTGGCTGGCTGGCCACTGAAGAAACAGCAGCTCATTCATGTTAGCTAGGACCCATTTAATTGCAAGTGTCAGAAAACCAAACTGGCTTAAGCAAAAAGATACCAGCTCAAGGTAGTTCGAGGACAGACCTCATTTTGGGCATGGCTGGTCAGAGAGATCAGGGGCATTATTGCTTACTGCCGTCTCCCACTCTGTGCTGGTGTCCTGTCTTCAGGCAGCTCACACCCCCTTGTGGTTTTGAGGTGCCTGCAGCAGCTCTCGGGGCTACATCGTGCCTCGATCTTGTCCAGGAGGGAAGACTGAAAGGACGTCTCAGCTTTCCCAGCAAAAGTCTTTTTGTGTCTCTGGCTCTGACTGAGTCATTTGCCAGGTCAGGTAAGGATGCTTTTGGCTACAAGCAACAAAACAGCCAACAAAGTGCCTAAACCAAGAGGAGTTGGGTTTTTATAGGATGGGAAATCTGGTGGTAGGTGGCAGCCTGAGGTGACTGTGCCAGTGTGGGCTGGCAGCCCCCGTCCCTTGGCCTTTACCCTGAGGGTGCAAGGTGGCTGCCATGGCTTCTGGCACAGTACCTGTGTTCAAAGCAGGAAGAAGGGGAGTGAGGTGGTACTTGGTGTGGTCTGCCCTTTTTAAATCGGAGAACAAAAGTTTCCAGAAGTGCCCAGAAGACCTCACCTTAAATACTAGGTCACCTTGCCATCCCCAGCTGCCATCAGGCTGGAGGAATAGGAAACAGAACTGTTATAACCGACTCAAGCCTATCGTGATCCGGCACTGTGAGCTGAGAGCATTGCCACCCTCGCCAGATTTGAGGTCTCCGTTAATAAGAATGGGGGGAGGGCTTGGCTCTTTGGTCAGCATCCCACCATGCTGCCAGTCCTGCTACCTCTGAACCCGTCACAACACTAGGGTTGCCGTCCCCCATCCCTGGGAACCCACGGGCTGAGGATAAAGGATGGGGGCCCCAGCTGGAAAGGGCCAGAGATGCTAAGAGACCAGAAAATGACACTGTACCCAACATGACTGAATCTGTGGCTATTCCCTGCTTGACCAGGCCTGCTTTCTGAGTACACGATTGTGGTTTTTGGTCTTACGGTGAAGTCAGACTTTCATTGACATATTAAAATATGATTGATCCAGGGATGGTGGCCCATACCTGTAATCCCAGCTACTTGGGAGGCTGAGATAAGAGAATCGTTTGAACCCAGGAGGCTGAGGTTGCAGCGAGCCACGACCATCGTGCCACTGCAGTCCAGTGTAGGAAACAAGAGTAAAACTCCATCTCAAAAAAATAGGCTGGGTGGATCACATGAGGTCTGGCGTTTGAGACCAGCCTGGCTAATATGGTGAAACCCCATCTCTACTACAAATACAAAAACTGGCTGGGTGTGGTGGCAGGTGCTCGAGGTGGCAGAATCACTTGAATGTGGGAGGCGGAGGTTGCAATGAACCAAGATTGCACCATTGCATTCCAGCCTGGGCAACAGGAGTGAAACCTTGTCTCAAAAATAAATAAGTAAAATAAAATAATTAAAACAAAACAAAAATAAAGGCTGGGTTCAGTGGCTCAGTCCTGTAATCCCAGCACTTTGGGAGGCCAAGGCAAGTGGATGAACAGAGGTTGGGGGTTCAAGACCAGCCTGACCAACATAGAGAAACCCTTTCTCTACTAAAAATACAAAATTAGCCAGGCGACGTGGTGCACGCCTGTGATCCCTGCTACTCAGGAGGCTGAGGCAGGAGAATCACTTGAGCATGGGAGGCAGAGGTTGCAGTGAGCCAAGATTATGCCATTGCACTCCAGCCTGGGCATCAAGATCAAAACTCTGCCAGAAATATGTGTGTGTGTGTGTGTGTGTGTGTGTGTGTGTGTGTGTGTGTGTGTGATATAAATATATATTATATATGTATAATATATATATAAACATAATGTTAGATATATATATGTATATATAATATGATTGGCCACTTCTAGGAACCGCTTCCTTATGAGTTGTACTGTGTGACACATCGGATACAGTTTTAGGTTGTTTCTTGCCCTTCCCTAGAAGAAATTATTTTAAGCTGCTAAAATGTGACTGATAGGACTTCATTCCTCAAAGAAAGTACTTCCTCACTTTCCCTTCCGCTGCAGCAGTAGATGATGGAAGTGCTTGGCCCAAGTAGGAGGATTGGGCATAAAAGCTACTCTCACAATCTGTTGAGGGGGTAATGTAACTTGGACCTGTTACATTTGCAAATAGAGGTCAGGCGCAGTTGCTCACACCTATAATCCCAACACTTGGTAGGCCAAGGCAGGAGGATCACTTGAGGCCAGGAGTTCAAGACTAGCCTGGGCAGCATAGCAAGACCCCATCTCTACAGACAATAAAAAATCAGCCAGGCATGGTGGTGTACACCTGTGGTCCCAGCTTTTTGGGAGGCTGGGACAGGAGGATTGCTTGAACCCAGGAGTTCAAGACTAGTCTGGGCGACATAGTGGGACCCTGTCTCTACAAAGAAGTTTAAGAATTAGCCAGGTGTGGTACATGCCTGTTGTCCTAGCTACTCTGGAGGCTGAGCCAGGAGAGTCATCTGAGCCCAGGAGGTCAAGGCTGCAGTGAGCCATTATTGTGCCACTGCACTCCAGACTGGGTGACAGAGCAAGATTCTGTCTCAAAAAAAAAAAAAAATGGCCTCCTTTGCTGAGTAGTTTGACCCTCTTTTCAGGGTTTGTTGGTTTTGCTGCTTATCATTGTCGTTGTTGCTGTTTGTGTGTGTAGTGACTTCCCTAATGAATTCTGTAAAACCTGTATTCTTTGTTGTGTTTGGACTCTGAAGTCTGCTCGGTCAGCCTAGTTAGTCGGTGGAAGATGAGAGATTTCTCTGAATGTCTTGAACCTCCATGTCTTTGCCACGGAGCTCTATGTGTGTGTTGGAATGTGCCTCTGACCCCCTGGAAGGCAGTCTGCCATTTGTTGTCGCCTTCACTTCTGCTTGCACAGAGACTCCAGGGCAGCAGACGTGAGAGGTCAAGGCCTCGGCTATCTTTCTTGGACATGTGCACTGCTCTGGTGGTCCTCTGGAGTCCCAGCTTTTTCCTTTTTTTTTTTTTGAGATGGAGTTTCGCTGTTGTTACCCAGACTGGAGTGCAATGGCACGATCTCGGCTCACCGCAACCTCCGCCTTCTGGGTTCAAGCAATTCTCCTGCCTCAGCCTCCTGAGTAGCTGGGACTACAGGCACGCGCCACCATGCCCAGCTAATTTTTTTTGTATTTTTAGTAGAGACAGGGTTTCACCTTGTTGACCAGGATGGTCTCGATCTCTTGACCTCGTGATCCACCCGCCTTGGCCTCCCAAAATGCTGGGATTATAGGCATGAGCCACTGCGCCCGGCCCCAGCTTTTTCTTTTAAGCTTTTTGGGCCATTTCTTGTTTGCGTCAGTTGTTACTGCTGTCATGGTCAGTGGGATGTTAAACAGTTGTCACTGATGGTTTTTGACACACACCCGGGGGAAAGAGCTGTTGACGCTGAGTGAGCCCAACTCAATGCAGAGTCAGATCAACTAAAGACAAGCCTCGCAGGTAGACATTTCCAGGGAGCCACTAGACAGGTCAACCAGGACCAGGGCTCTAAGGATGGAACCTCCAACAGCTCCCAGCCCAATCATCCTACTCCTGTTTTTTAGTGAGGTTCAGGCATTTGAATAGTCCGAGGTGCATTTCCAGAGTTCTGAAAAAGTTGATTTTGAGGATTTTTGCCAGTGTTCTGTTATGTTTATGGAGGAGCAGGTTTTTGGAGGTCCTTACTCTGCCATTCATCCCTTTTTCAAATAGCACTACATCTGAAGTGTGTTTCTTGTATGTCAAATGTTTTTGTTTGTCAAATGTGTGGTTTTTGTTTTTGTTTTTTTTTGAGACAGTCTCACTCCTGCCCCGGGTGGAGTGCAGTGTCACAATCTTGGCTCACTGCAACCTCTGCCTCCTGGGTTCAAGTAGTTCTTCAGCTTCAGCCTCCTGAGTAGCTGGGATTACAGGTGGACGCCAACACGCCTGGATAATTTTTTTTTCTGTATTTTTAGTAGAGATGGAATTTCACCATGTTGGTCAGGGTGGTCTAGAACTCCTGACCTCATGATCCACCCGCCTCAGCCTCCCAGTGCTGGGATTACAGGCGTGAGCCACTGCGCCCAGACCGGGTCATGTTTTCTAATTCATTCTGACAGTCTCTGTCTTTTTCTTGATATGTTTGGATTCAAGGCTACCATTTTACTGTTTCTTTGTTTTCATTTTTGTTTTTTGAGACAGGGTCTTGCTCTGTCACCCAGTCTGGAGTACAGCAGTGCGATTGTGGCTCTCAGCAGCCGCAAACTCATGGTGGGCTGAAGTCATCCTTCTACCTCCGCCTCTTAAGTAGCTGGGACTACGGGTGTGTACCACCATGCCTGGCTCAGGTTTTGTTTTTTGTAGAGATGGGTCTCACTATGTTGCCTAGGCTGGTCTTCAATTCCTGGGCTCAAGTGATCCTCCCACCTCAGCCTCCCAAGTGGTTGGAACCACAGGCCTGAGCCATCATACTCAGGTAATTTTTGTATTTTTTTTTTTAAATAAAAACTGGGATTTTCCATGTTTCGAACTGTTAAGCTCAAGTGATCCTCCCGCCTTGGCTGCCCAGAGGGCTGGGAATTCAGGTGTGAGCCACCATGAGAGGCTGGCATGGTTTTCCTTGGACTGCTTGCCTTTTTTTTTTTTTTTTTTTTTTTTGAGACAGAGTCTGGCTCTGTCACCCAGGCTAGAGTGCAGCGGTGCAATCTTGGCTCACTACAGCCTCCGCCTTCTGGGTTCAAGCAATTCTCCTGCCTCAGCCTCCCTAGTAGCTGGGATTACAGGCATGTGCCACCACACCCAACTAATTTTTAGTAGAGA